CCTGCTTTTGCTGTTCAAACTTGATATTCACCATCTGGTTTTATTTTAAGCATAGATGGGGTTTGGGAAAGGAATAATCTCATTGTTGTTTATTGCAGCCATGGAAAATGCATCATGAGAGCACTTGCGGCGGATGCTTAGCATTTAGATTACGCTTGCCCAGCCGAAGCCCACAGTCCAGGTGCCACCCGGCGAGGCTGCGTGTGGGCCTGCACAGCAGGGGTCATCATCGGCGCCACCGGCCTTGAACTGGGGGCTTTGTAACTCGATTAAAATCACACCAGGATTTTCACGAGTGGTTTTTAGTCTTAAAAAAATTATAAAGCAAGAGACTTGAATTGTAAGCATATAACTAGAAGAAACTCCTTGTTTGTTTCAATAAGTAGTTGAATAGCTCTTTTATAAGGCCCAGCAGGGCAAGCCTGAGACAACAGGTGGTACCCAGAAGACGCTGCGTGCCGGCCACCTCCTGTCCTGCACCTCGACAGCTGGATCAGGGCCAGCTGTCATGGACTGAGCCCAGAGCCCGAGACTGGCAGGAAATGACAGGCGTTCAGGCCTGAGAGGCGGGCTGGGCAAGGAGCCCTGGCACCCTCTCCTCTGTGGGGTGGAGCAGCTCGGGTGTGGAAGGGAGACTGGTGAAGTGGGAGCTTTGCCAGTCTTTCTGCTGATGATAATGGGTACGTGATTTGTGTATGGCAGCCGGGTGGGACGTGATGGAGAAACCCAGAAAGACAGCCCTGACAACACGAGGACTGCTGGGGAAGTACTGCTGGCTCCTGCCACTTCTCCAAGGCACTGCAGGTTCCCAAGTCAAGGATAATGACAGAATCTTAAGTTCTGCGGGAAAAGCCACAGTAACAAAACATAAAACAATGTGTGAAGAACTGGTAAACTTTTTGAAGATAACGTTATTGTGCTGATGGAAACTTGCTATGATTGTAAATGTAAGTTGGTATAATCTCTTGGTGAGAACCTAGCAATTCTGCTAGAAGATATGTTGGACAAAGTGTAGAAAATATGTACAGGACATATAGGCAAAGATGTGAGTTACAGACTACCTTATCATTTGGAAAAACTGTATTCCTATAACAGTGTAAACTGGTGATAGAAATTATAGCACTTCCAATGTTAGGGAATATTAGTGATTATAAATCATGTTTCAGAAGACTTTAATGACACTGACAGTCAGACGTGGTGACACATGCCTATAATCCCAGCACTTGAGAGGCTGAGGCAGGAGGATTGACATAAGATCAAAGCCAGCCTGGGCTGTCTAGTGAGTTCAAAACCAACCTAATTGCATAGTGAAATACTATCTCAAAAAGACAGAAAAAAAAAAAAAAAAAGACATAGAGAAATGTTTAGGACTCTAGCACTGAGATCACAGCATTTTTCATAAGCATGTTATTAAAAATACTTAGAGGCTTAAGGAAAAAGTCTTCGGCACCTACCTATAATCTAGAAAGCTGAGGCAGAAGGACTGCTAGCTTGAGCCCAGCTAGGCACTTCAGTGAAACCCTGTCTCAAAATAAAAAGTTAAAAAAGGAGCTGGGAATATAGCTCAGTGGAATGGGTCTAGGTTCACTATTCAGTACTAAAAGGAAAAAAAAAATTCAATTACAAAGTTATAGCAAAGTGGGGGCTGGGGAGATGGCTCAGTGGAATAAGCGCTTCCCTGGCAAGCATAAGGACCTGAGTTCAATCCCCAGTTCCACCAAAAAAAAAAAAAAAGAAAAGAAAAAGAAAAAGAAAAAAGAAAAAAGAAAAAAGAAAGAAAAGAAAAGAAAAAAAATTCAAAGCAGGCAAAAAAAAAATCAGACTTAAAAAAATTAAGCATTAACAAAGTTATAGCAAAATGATGAAGATAATTATCTTTAAATAGTAGGATTATGTATTGTCCTGTGGTTTTCTATTTTCTTAGTCAAAAACATTTACATGGTGAAGTGCTACTTTTGTAATCAGAAAAACTCATTGAATTATATAAAATAATTTAAAATGATAGTAAATTTATAAGACACCTTTACAAAAATTGTAAATTTAAATTATAATATAAGTGAAATATATAACATGTAATATACTGAATATATATAATGAGTCACTTATTAGAGTGGTATTTAGTATAAAAATTCCCAGACAATTAAATAATTCCTTAGAAGTTTTTGCAGAAGAACGTGAGGTAAGAAATACGAAAGACCAATATTACTGTGAGCTCCCCACAAAGAGCCGCTGTACTGTGCGCTGCAGCCCGGGGCTTCCTTGGAGGGCTCAGATGTGCTGCCAGCTCCAAGAGGCCAGCTCACTGGGCCCCACAGAGCTGGCTGGGACGCTCCAGGGACTGTGCTGGACTGGGGTGAAGGTCCGGACTGCACCAGGAGAGGAGTGGGGAGGAGGTGGCGTGGGCTGGAAGGACGCCTTGCTGGGATGGGTGAAGAGAAGGTTGACCCTGCACTGATGAGCCCAGGGGGTGGGCGTGTATTCCACCATCCTGTACAGCTGATGGTAAGGGGCAGAAGGTAAGCAGTGCCAGCACAGGGGCACAGGGGTCCCCACAGGGAAGACGGCTCAGGCAATGTTATAGAATGTTAGCGATTATAAAGCATGTTCCACAAGACTTTAATGATCTAGGCATCCAGATGTGGTGGCACAGGCCTGTAATCCCAGCACTTGAGATGCCGAGGCAGGAGGACTGCCACAAGATCAAGGCCAGCCTGGGCCATCTAGTGAGTTCAAAACCAGTCTGAACTATATAATGATATACTATCTCAAAAGACAAAAAATACAGAGAAATGTTCAGCCCTCTATCCTTGAGTCTGCACAGAATGCCTGCATGTTCAAGGCCGACTGCAGGAGCATCCCGGTAGGTCATGGAGACCAGAATGTGGCGATCATCCCAGGTCCTCCAAGGCTGTCACACCGTGGCCAGCTGTGGGCTGGGGAAATAACCCTAACACTGCTGGTAGGCACTCCTAGATAGCTTTCGCTACCAATTTACATTATTCCCCGAGTCTATCACAGAGCCTAGCAGACAGCAGGTGTGCAGTGACTGCGAGTTCTGTGTACCTCCCCCTCGCCCCACCAGCCCTGGCAGTTGTATCCAGGGCCTTCCCATTGAGCTGCGTTCCATCCCTTTTTTTAAATTTTGAAACAGAATCTTGCTTGATCACCAACTTTCTTGGGCTAGACTTTAACTTACTGTCTTCCTGCCTCAGCCTCCCGAGTGATAGGATCACAGGTGTGGGCCATGATGTTGACTGCTCTGTGCTTTAAACCCATCTCGTGAGAGTGCCCCGCCATGAGCTGTGCTCAGGCCTGCCCTGGAGCCCTGTCTTAAAATTTTTCTTTCTTTTTTTGTAACTGAACAATCATATGTCCCATGTAAATCCTACAGTTCCCAGGGATCATGCTCCCTATCTCCTGAATTGACACCTGTTAGGGAGAGACACACTTAAATGAACTCTCATTGAAGACATCTGTGACATAGGAGAGGCATGGTACTGTAACCATGTATGAGCAGAGTGGTTTGGCATAGGCATTCAGGTAAAATCGGTCTGAGGAAGCGACACTGGGGGATGCAAAAGATGCACATGAGTCAGCTGTGCAGACAGGATCCCTCAGAGACAAACGAGCATCGGCCAGGGGTCTGCTGCAGGAAAACGTGGAGCCACTGTGAATGGCTTTGGGAAGGGCAGTGTGGCACCTGTGTAGACTTGGTGGCGAGCGTGGTGCAGAGGAGGTCTGAGAAGCCAGCAGGGGGCAATTTCGGGGTGGAGCGTGGGCCATGAGGTTAGTTTGTAACATTACTCAAAGTCAAAGGAAAGGTATGTCCCATACCCTAACAGAAGAGCGACAGTCACACGACTGCGCTACGCTGTCCTGCCCCACTCATTCATCCGGCTCCAGTAGCAGCCTTCACAGGCTGGCCTTCTGAGGAAGCTCCCTGCTGGGGAAAAGCAGCTGGCAAGATGTGTGAAATCAAGCCTGGACCCCAGAATGCCACTGGCTGATGAAAAACAGCACTTCTTCAAGATACTTTCCTTCCTCCACTAGAAAGTTGTTGCACCAATTTTGTTAGAGGGAAACTCTCCAATGCCAACCGAAGAAAATGTTACAGTAAATATAAAAGCTTGTGATGTTTATGATGTGCGACCTTTGTGTGGGCCACAACTCCAGGGAAAAGGAGAAAAAAACCTCTTCCCCTTAAAATGATAGTGAATATGATGCGGTGCTTTTGTTTGCTTGTTTTTGCCTTCAAAGGCCTTATGATCAATAGAGCTGATTTTCCAGTGCTTACCTAAGCCATCAGAGCTGGGGGGAAGGGATGACAGGCTCCAAATGGCAGAAAGAGGGTACGCTCCCCATGGCTGGGTGGATGGGGAACAAGAGCTCGCTGAGCTGACTCAAAACGATGTTGCTGTCTGAGCTGGGATACAAGGGAGACCACGGAGCCCCACTGCAACCCGCTGGCCCCAAGTGCCCCTGCCTTTGTTGCACGGAGCCTGAGAGTGGAGGGAACACAACCGGATGGCTGTGGGGGCCAATGCGATGAGCTGTGTGTGGCATCCTGGTTTGATTAAAGTTGGAAGATGTATTCCACATAGATTTTTCCGAGTAGTTTTCCTGTTATGGCAACATTTCACTGTCAACCAGAAATCTTGTGATCTCAGTTTAAATTCATTAACAGTTGTTTTCAAACTCTCTATCACAAAATCCTTGTGTATATTATAAAGCATCCTAGGCGTTGATATATGCACTGAATGCCATAGACAGCTGTATGCTTATCTTGTTCATAGTTTTGTTTTTTTTTTTTCTTAAATGAAATGCATCACTCTCATAGACATTTCTAGAAGATTCTAAGAAAGAATAGAAAAGAAATGCATTGTGGTCTTCTCTCATCCCAGACTCCATTAGGCTTCCTCTCTGCTCTGATCCTTGTACCCATATCTTCAGGGAAACAGCATTACAACAGAGTGGCCTGGGGACACCAGAGGCACACTTACCACTCTCTGGCTGGAAGACGAGCTGGTCCCTTCCTCGTCTTCCCCATCTGGCTCCTGGTCTTCGTTGTCAGTCCAAGAGGACACATCCTCTACTGAGCTGGTCAGATCTGGCAAGCTCTTACAAGTCAGCCTGAGGAGGTCTTCTGCAGAGGTTTCCTGTCGGGACACAAGGACAAGCCCGGGAATTACCCCCTGCGTCAAGCAGTGCTGGCTGTCACCATGACAGAGCCAAGCTGCAGGCTCCTATCCAGTGCCTACATGATCCTTAGGTTCTGCACATCCGGGGTTCCTGTCCCCATCAGGGCGTGTGTACACCCAGTTCAAACCCAAAGCACTGTTCCTTCTTTGAGGAACTTAGGCTAATGCTTCCCCAGGCAGCCCAAGCTCTCTGGACCTGGACTCTTCAAGGGCCTGTCTTGTCTTGCTTTCAAGACGTTGTGTACACTTCCTCACGGGCAGGTGAGCCTCTTGGAAATCTGACCTCTCCATAACCCTCGAAACCAGCCTCCCGCATTCTCCCCAGAGGCCTCACCTCAAGTCATCTCCAGGCCTCCTTGCACTCCCCGCCCAACGCCCACACCCCCCAGGAAGACACCCTGATTATGACTATGGTCTGAGGGGAGAAAGCCTGAGCACCTCTCTTTGACCCTCTCTGAGGTGATCTATGAGCCCCTCAGGTCTCTCTAATATCTGGGACTATTTCTCTTACTCCCTGCAGGCTGGGCAACTTCTCAGGTCTGTGTGCCCTGCTTGTCATGAGTTCCTCCCTCCCAATTCCAGTCCTCCTCATGACTGTGTCCCCAGACCCACTCAGAGCACAAATATCCACTCCACCTTCCTCCCCTGCCCCGCTGGCCATCTCACTAGCATGTGCTCATTAGAAAGAGATTAGCCTGTTTATTGCATCAAAATGCCACGCTGAACATGGGATAATGGCAAAGCAGCCCTTGAACAGCTTCTAAAGGTCAGTAACAACGCATGGAGCCCGACTCTGCTCACATCCCTCTAAGCAGGCTCCATAGACACAGCCCCTGCTCCTCAGTACAAAGAAGGCCAGAGTAGGCTCGAGTGCACACATGACCAGGAAGTGCTCGTGACAAACTCCAGGACCTTGGCGCTGTCCTGGGCAGGGCCACCAGACCCAGAGCCAGAACTGGGGTCAGCAGGGCACAGGGCTGCAGAGCTGACCCCAGCCCAGCGAGGTCTCTCCTCATCCTCCTACATCAACCATTTCTGCAGGTTGATGGTCTGAATCATCCTGCTGGGACAGAGCTGACAGGAAGGCGGGAAACACACCCATTTAGACAGCACACTGTACCAGCTACTGGTGAGTTGGCATCTGATGACAGCGACGTTGGTTACTAGTTTATTGCTGTTTTTACTTTTAAGAAACCTGAAGGATACTAATTTTATATTTATTTATTTTTATGTATTTGGTTGTTACAGGGTCTCACTACACAACTTGGACTTGTGGTGATCCTCCTGGGATTACAGGTATGTATCACTACACCTGGACTCTGGCTGGCTCAGCCCACCCTGGGGGGCAGGGCTGGCATAGCATGTGGTGCCAGGGATTGAACTGGGGTGCCTGAGCTTGCCCAAACAGGTGCTGTAGCCCGCTGAGCTATCTCGCCAGCTCCAGGTACTCATTTTAGGCCAGTAATGATGAGTCCTATGCCGTTAGTTCTTACTAAAGGAAATGAGAAGTTATTAAAGAGAAAGTAAGTTCATGTCTCTTCTGTGATGTCAAACTCTGCTGAACCACAAATGAAGGTCCTAACTGGTGAGTAAGCTGCACTGCAACTCCATAATAAAACACTATATACAGTCATGAAAAATGGTGCTGCAGAGATGCCCTTCCTCTGTGGAGAGGGTCTGAGAGTGTGCTACTCAGCAAACAACAAACTGAAATCACATGGAATAAGCCCGTAATGACTAACACAGGTTCTCCTAAACAACATGTAATAACGCATACTAACCACGAAGGCAGGCTTTTCCCCCTGGTTTACTCTGACCAGCTACGCTGCCCAGGGCCTTTTTCATCTCTGTGGTCTCCATGGCAGCCTCATCAAGCAGGTCTGGGTGAGGCAGTACACAAGGAAAAGCTGGGGTTCAGAGCTGAGGTCCACAGCTTTTCCAGGGCAGTGCGGCTGGGTGGAACCGTCCCCAGCAAGCAGTCCCCTTGGGGGTTATTCTATTGCCGGCTGGAAGGACACACCGCTGACAGATAATACCGTGGTAGTGTTATCAGAATTTCATCTTCTCCTACTTCTCTGTGTTTTTCCTGGGGTTTCTATATTTGATGTAAAAAACAAAACAAACCACCGTATTTGCTAACAAAAACCAGGAATGGGGGAAAAAAAAAAGGACAAGAGACCTATATCCTTACACGCTGCTTCCAGGAATAACAAAGCTTGGCTATTCTGAGCTCATTCAACAAAAACCATGTCAGCTCCTGCTCTAAGTAAACAACGTGTCTGTGGAAATACAAGACATTTTCTCTTAAGTAACTGCTATGTGTCCCAAACACTGGTTTGAAGTTCTGTGACAAGACTGTCACCTAGAATAACAAGTCTCCATTTTTTATTGTTTTCTATATTCAGCAAGTTGGAAGCTCTCTCCCATTCAAATATGAAGAAGAAAACGAAGTCTATGAGTTACTTGTTGTTGTTGGATAAAGAGGAGAAAGAGAGGCCAGGAGGCGCCTACAATGGGTGCTTCTCGTCCCCTGCATAAATGAGCACCTCAGTGGCGGAGGCTGCTGGGCAGAGGCTGAGAGGGGACCGGCGGCAGCTGCTAGGCAGTGTGTCCCCTAATTGTAAGCAGACTCAGGCTGCGGAGGGAGAGTCTCGCTCCCAGGTCTGGGTCAGGCGCACAGGGCCCTGGGCTGCAGACCTGGAAGGGTCACCTATTCTAGCTCCTGAATGTTGCTTAGCATTGTGAGGACCCCAGCGAGTGTCCAAAAGCCAAAGCCTCTGGCAGGAACACATGGACTTTCTTTGACACCACTGGCTACAGCTTATTTTATGTCTTGTTTGCATAAAAGGCAGCTTGAGGTATGAGAAGCAGCACGAACCTTGAAGTTGGGTGGACCCTGGATACAACCCTCTGCCGCTGCCTACTGCCACATGACCTCAGAGCAGGCCAACTGAGTACTGGGATTTGGATTTCTTCCTTTGAATAAAAAGAATTCAGACTTATCTCAAGGGATTCATTTTTACATAACCTAACTGCTGCCTGATTCATGTACATGGTCCTTTCTTCCTGTAGGGCGGGGTGTGAAATTGGAGATCAGGCTTCCCAAAGGAGTTAACACGCCCTCATTGTACTAGCTCCACCCCTTTCTTTTCATCTTTTGTTTTATTTGTGTTTGTAGATGATGGCTTGACACAGAGGAGAAGAACCTTCTTCATTTTCCACACTAGCCAGAGAAACAAGGTAGGGTAGAAATGAAGGTTTGGCGGCAGGGGGCAGCACAGGGTTTGGTGCAATGCCCAAACCTGTGTGTCTTGAGGCGCAGTCTGGGTGGAAGGGGCTGGAAAGCCCAGTGGGCACTGCGCAGACACAGCGTTCTGTGTGTGCAGCACCAATGACACGTTCATGCTCCAGATCCTGCAGGCCACACAAGGAACTGCCTCCCTCCTTGGGGAGTTCAGAGGCTGGGGGTGGAGAACCCTGGGAAAGAGGCACAAGTGCCCCTCAAAGCATTCTGGGTGAAGCAGGTGCAGAGCTGTGGACTCTAGGGAGGGTCCCCGGAGCCCCATGGCAGCTATGAGGGGGAGGAAATGACTTATGAGTGGGGACTGGGCTTAGAGACTCGCGTGTCTTTCTGAGACTCACCCGAGGCGCTATCCATTTCTTTTGGAAGCCTAAAACACTTGTTAAGGTTTGCAGTAAAATGGTTAAAGCAAGGAATGCAGATTGTCTCTAGATTACAAGGACTTTACATGAAGCGAAGGTTATACAGTTCTATACCGTATTGTTTGGGGAATATTGGCTAGGGACAAAGTCTGAGCATCTTTGGCTACTGCAGCTGTTCTTTTTTTTTAAATATGTGGGACCCAAGACTGGTTAAACATGTAGATGCAGGACTGCGACTATGAAGAGCCAACTGTACTCTCCAAATTGGCAGTAGAACTTACAGTTTAAGGGGGAAAACATACAAAACCCCAAGGTACCAGGTCCAAATCAGCAAGGGGTTCATAGGTAGAGAATCACCGTAGGGCAGTGGCATGGTGCCGGGCAGGCCAAGACATGTGGCCTCACCCCGATGCTTCTGGGAGAAGCTCCACATCCCTAATCACTCACTCGCACAGTCTCTCTCCCTGTCTCCTGGGTAAGGCACTCAGAGGAAAGACTGGGAAGGAGAAAGGGCAGCCTCCCTTCCTCCTCAGAGCTGTGAACTCTGCAGCCTTTTTCCAGGGCTTTATGGCTGGTGGGGCCCAAAGCCAGGACACTCTGTGAGCACACATCAGGCCTCAGGATCACAAGGAGAGAGAGAACCAGGAAGAGAAGGCAGCAGCAAGCTGGCACAGATCCTGGGCTGGGCAACAAGCGCTGGCACCTGGCACTGTGGACGGCACCACGGCCTCTGCAAGGAGAGCGTGCCATGGTGATTTGCACCAGGCGTAGACTTGAGAGGAGGAAAGGTAGGGCGGCAGGACCAAAGGATTCCCAAAGCTTCCTCCAGCTCCAGGCGTCAGGGCCTTGGACCATCCAGGGGCCCTGAGCCCTTCTTTCTTCCAGACCGGAAGATTCAAGCCCACACCCCAGCTGTCCAACTGCTTCGGTTTGTCCAGGGAGCACCGCTACTTCCTCATGTTCCCCTTCTTCCCACCCTACGCTCTTTTCTCTTTGGATCAATTATTTCTTTTCTATATCCTTTCACACTGTTAAAGACTCTTCAAGGAACAGAAAGAAAATGATGAAATGCACATCAGCTAAGGGTCTCCATGTGGGTTTACACTGTTGCATCCAGGCTATTTTAATATCCCAATGTAAATATGTGAGCGCGTGCACACGCGCGCACACACACACGTCTGTCTGCACGTGGCATGGGGAGGACTCAAATCTGAACTCACCACCACCACTAAAATACTTTAATGAAACAAGCGACCTACCTTGCTGGCTACCACCAGCTGCACCATTCCTGTGGCAGAGCGAAGAATGGCTACGGCTTCCTCGTGGGACAGCCCGATCAGTAAGTGACCATTGATCACCAGCAGTTCATCTCCCAAGGACAGTCTGCCATCCCTGAAGAAATGCAGATGGGAAAAAAATATCCTTGTCAAGGCATTCTAGGCCCGAGAAGGGTTATTTTCAAGGAGCTCGGACAGGTCACAAGAAGGGAGTTAAAATTGGTGATGAAGAGGGAACAGTGACATCGAGAGTAGGATGGAATCCTTTGTCCCGTGTGTCCATATCCCACTGGAAGAAGGGAAGGGCCACCATTTTGAGGAAGTCACTTAACAATAAGCATATTTTGAAGCTACTCTCAGTATCTGACATCAGTGTCAAAGATACTCCCATCCGGGTAGCGCTGGTGATGGTGAAACCAAGACTCCAGTGTTTTAGGAAAGCCACATCATCCTTTTTTAAACAATCCCTTCTGCCCTTGTGACCAAGGGATCAGCATAAGGCCAAGTCACTGAGCTAAGCCCAGGGATAGAAAGGCAGCCTGAGCCCACCAGCAGTCCTTCCTCGGCCACTGCCCTTCTCTTCTCGGGGACAGGTCTCTTTCCAAATTTCCCCTGGAACCCCTGTGGCTGATACTGTACTGCATGTGTCTGTGGCCCCTTCTCAGAAGGGTTACAGGACCTACAGTAGTGGTGGTGATCCTTTTTGTGCTTTCAGTAAAAATAAACATTCCACTATAGTACATGTGCTGTAGGTTTGCCACCACTGACCCAGAGGGTGAGGTCTCCCAGCTCTTTTCTTAACCTTGGGTCCCAAAGCCAAGGTTCCTAAGTAGGAAGATGAATCCAATAATAATAATAATAATAATAATAATAATAATAAAATAAACTGTTTGATTTGTTATTGTTGTATCTATCAGACCCGACCTACAACCATGGAAGTACAATCATTGCTTCTTTATTTCCTTTAAATTATGGCTAAGTTTTCATTCCACCTGGCTGGCAGGAGAGTCAGTTGTCACTGGACTGTTTACCCCAGGGAGCATAGGGCTCTCAGTGTCAATGTATGCCAGAGGACTGGGCAGGCTCCATCAGTGGGTTCCAACTGAGCCACCTCTTATCTGATCTCATGACCACAAAGGAACCAGAGATAGCTAAATACGGGACAGGAAATCTGATGAGGCGGTGAGACCTTGAACCTCTTCCACAGTACGTGGGGTGCTGCTGTGGAACTCTTGAATGTGTCCATTCTCTAGGATTCACTCAGCTTGGATTATCTTTTTTTTTTTTTTTTTTTTTTTTTTTTAAACTCAGGACCTTTTTTTGTCTTTGAACGTTCATGAGCCTCTCGACTTTCTTTCTTTCTCTTTTTCTCATGGTAATCCAAGTGGTACCCATAGTGTTTGCGGTGTAATTCAATATATTCATTCTGTGGCATGATGACAGCTGCAGAGCCACCGCGGGCGGCCTCAGGAATGCCTTAATAACAGTATTTAAAAAATGGGCCCTCTTGGAACTACAGCAAAAGTTGGGCATTCTGGTACCTGTGATCCCAGGACTTGGGAGGCTGATACAGGAAAATTATGAGTTTGAGGCTAGCCTGGGCTACATAGTGAGCTCACAGCCAGCCTGCATAGGGCGATGTTGTCAAAAAACAAAACAAAACAAAACAAAACAAAACAACCCAAACTGCAATGAAATATCGTCTTATATCTGTTAGCATCGCCATTATTAAGAAAATGATAACAAGTGCTGGTCAGGATGTGGAGAAATTGGACTCTTGCTGATGGTCGGAATATAAATTTGTACAGTTGCTAGGGAGAACACTGTGGAGGTTCCTGAAAAGATTAAAAATAGAACTATCACCTGACCCAGATATTTCACTTTCAGGCACAGAGCTGGTCTTCGTCATCTGCAGGCTCCACATCTGTGGATTTAGCCAATCTTGGATCTAGTATATTTGAAACATGCAGACTCTTTCTTGTCACTGATTCCTATAAACAATACAATATTTATACTACATATCTTTTTTTTTTTTTTTTTTTTTTTTTT